ATATAGGGAGAGGTTCTAATAAAAACCTAGAGAACTAAAAACCAATCCTAACCCTCCAATCTATCTAATCCAATGGCCTACATTTCGATGGCAGAATTGTAAATATAGACAAATTTAATACACATCAGCTGTAAAAAACAATGTGAAAAGGATAAAATTAGAACAATTCACTACATTAATGGTGGCTGGCAACATTGGAAACTGGAGATAATGATTAAAACAAAAAATACAACACGTCCTTTAATACTCTCTCTTACTATCAACGTGCTACGTCCTTTCACTTCCCCATTTCTCTCTCTAACTCACTTCCCGCTCTCTGTAACTCACTTCCATCTTCTATCAAGCTTTGATCTTCCATCTTCGCATGAAGAACACAGCAACAATTCGTTAAAAACCATCCTATCTGAAAAAACAAAAAGAATAAGAAACTTATGGTAAAAAACAAGCTATAAAATTTTAAACCATGATAAGATTTCACATTTTACAGCAAAAAGTTACGATTTTTATGGTAAAAAACAAACACCTTATACATAACTGAATCTGAATTCACTGCAATGAATCTAGATTCACTTGAATTCACTGCAGTGAATCTAGATTCATAAACCATGATAAGATTTCACATTTTACAGCAAAAAGTTACGATTTTTATGGTAAAAAACAAACACCTTATACATAACTGAATCTGAATTCACTGCAATGAATCTAGATTCACTTGAATTCACTGCAGTGAATCTAGATTCACTCATGCGTTTATTTCTTCGAAATTACAGCACATGCATTTATTTCTTCAACAATTCATTAAAAACTGTCCTAACCATCCAAGCTTTGGCTGGAGTGAATCTGGATTCACTCCATTGAATCTGGATTATATTGAAGAATAAGAAACTTATGGTAAAAAACAAGCTATAAAATTTTAAACAAAAAGAATAAGAAACTTATGATAAAAAATAAGCTATAAAATTTTAAACCAAGAAAAGATTTTACCTTTTACAGCAAAAAATTACGATTTTTATGGTAAAAAACAAACACCTCACATACTGAATCTAGATTCACTGCTGTGAATCTAGATTCGCTGCTGTGAATCGATATTCACTACAGTGAATCTAGATTCACTTATGCGTGTCTTCGTTTTTCAACTGGTTTCTTCAAAAAACTTTTCAGACTAAAAGGTAAAATATTTCACCTTTTACAACAAAAAGCTACGATCTTTAAGGTTAAAACTAAAACTTTTAGACGAAAAATCAAACAAATTTTATAAACTTACCATTAAAGCGTCAAAATAATTTAACGATGACAAATGTTGAAGACAGTGGTTGAAGATAAAGGTTGAAGACAAAGGTTGAAGAAGACCGTGGATAGGGAGATGTTGAAGACAGAGAGAGAGTTGCTGTGATTTTGGAGAGAGAGAGTTGCATGGGGAAATGGAGAACTCAACAGAGAAGATGAATACTTTGGGCCACTTAACCTAGTGGTAAAGTTTGGGGGTGTGGACAAGAGGTTAGGGGTTCAAACCCCTACGGTCATAATATATATTTAAAAGTCTTTGATGGGCCTTGGGCCTTAGAGCTCTTTGAATTCTAAAAATATTTTTAGAATATTCCTTGTTAAAGT